GAGGGTAGTAGGTTTAAAACAATGATTATCCAGAGAGATATCTCCTAACACAGTATCCTTACTCTATTGCTATCACCACATTCTGAATCAAAAGAAGTGGACATTTGTGACAGACTAGGTGTTTCCTGGCACCCAGAGGCAGGCAGCAGATGTCTGAATGATAAAAAGGTACAGAGGAAGCAACTTCCTCAGGAAGCTGTGGGGAGGTCCTGGGCCCTCAGGCAGAACATAGCCATTAAAGACCTCAGCAGAGTGAGCCAACAGACCTGGACTGCAAAGAAGCCAGACCACCATATGGCTATAACCTTTGGTCCCAGGAATTGTAAGAGACATCAGAGAAGGCTAATTATGAACACTAAATGCTTATGACTTCCTCAATTTATAATTTCTCATTTCATTTCTCTCTTCTGGGAGTATTTTGCCTTCTATGTTGCCACGTGGGAGAATTAGTGGCAACTATTCAGCTGTGATCATTATCTACAGTTTTGAGGTAAAAGTGCAAAATATCAAGAGTGGCAAGCCAATGAGAGGTAACTGGCCCCTTCCTGTCACAAATGTCTTTGTCCAAAAGATTACGTGAACTAAAATGCAGACATGGCATATTGCAAAGAAATTACAAAATCCATTATAGGCTCAAGAATTTAAATTAGTCATGCAATTATGTAGCTCCTAAACTGGAGTAAAACCAAATGGTTTAACTATTGTAAGTGTTATATTGAAATGTGATTTCTGGTGTTATTATTCAATCACCAGGGAACAATGGCACCTTGGGATAGGAAATTAGAAAGAACAGTTAATGCTAATAAGAAAGGCATGATATCCCAGCCCCTCTTGCACTGACCTCTTCTCTGAACTTTCATTAATTCAATATTTAATGAGACACTACCACTGTGCTAGGCACAAAAGAAAATAAATCCCTGTAATAAATCCTTCAAAGAATTTACAGTCTAGTGGATAGAAAAGGGAAATATACAGAAGGTATAAAATAAGGCAACCTCAACTGAAGCTTAGAGGATGGATAGGCAGCCTTTGGATGAAGGTGAAGAAGATAATAACATAATGACCTTGAAAGATGGGTGGAATCTTGTCAACAGACAGACACTAACATAGATGCAATAGCCTTAGAAAAGGGGTACAGAGAGAACAATGTGTACAACATTACAAGAAATAACATTACAGTCTGGGGCACAGGATATGGTATGCAAGGGCTGGGAAGGATGTCTCTTCAACTAGACTTTAACTCAAGGACAGCACTTTTCTTCTTTCCTGCATATTACCTGAGACCCAATTCTCTATGTGCGGTAGGCCCTAAATCATACTTATTAAATAAACAAGAAAACTAATCCAGAGATGAAAAAATTAAATCTATTCAGTCCACTTTGATGTTGCTGCTGCTTCAGGTGTTCCTGAGTTTTCCTAATAATATGGGTCACAGTAGAATTCTATGCATCCTTAACTAAGGGCAGATACTTGTGTCATCTCATTAACCATATGGGAGTATTTAAGGAAAGCTCGTATGGCAAGCGTATGGGTGTGTGTGTGTGTGTGTGTGTGTGTGTGTGTGTGTGTGTGTGTGTGTGTGTGTGTCTGTATCTGCAAATTTGGAAAGTTTGAGGAAAGTTGTTGGGTCCAATACCTGGCAGTGAGGGGGGGAGTGGGAGGGGAGGAAAAAGAGGAGGAAGTCTGATCTATAAAATAATTCTACTAGTACTATGATCCCAAAATGAAGAGCTAATACATTAATATAAAAATTCCAGGAAGCTATCAGTATCTAGAAATAAAATGTTTTATATTCTCATTTTTAGAAATATATCTAGTGAATATGTTCACTGCCCTGCCACTAACTTGCTGTGTAACTGCAGACGAGTTTAACCTTCCTGAGCCTCCCAACAGGGAGGAGGGTGAAGAGAAGCTGACACTGGAGGAAGCCAGGTCTGTGGAGGCGGCCGCACTCCTGATCCACTCAGATGCTCTTCTGCCATCGACGTGCCTCACACCTTCACAGAGCCTCACTCTGTGTACGCACATCTGGTGGGTAGGGATGCTGCTAAAATGCAGATCCTCTTCACAACTTTTCCAGCCTTTGGTTTCATGATATCTAAGGTAACTTTAACTTTAGATTCTAAAATGTCCTCTGGTTCTATTTTATGATCTCATCCTTAGATTTAAGAACAAAGCCTTGAGAGAAGCATCTTCCTTAGTTATCATAAGTCCATCCAAATCATATGTAAATACTTTTATATTTACATATGAGGAAAAAATAGAATTTGTGGAAAAATAGAATTAAAAGGTAACACGAGGGGCCGGCCCGGTGGCGCACTCAGTAGAGTGCGGCGCTTGGGAGCGCAGTGGCGCTCCCGCCGAG